ATGTACAAACACAAGAGGTGGATGTGAATGCCAGATGTGGTGAGTGTGGAGGAGTGGGGCCTGGGGAAGAACATTTGGAGGAGGGATACGAAGACAGCATTATTGAGACAGGGAGGTAGTGTTGTTATATTTTGATCAACTCGACCAGGGAGAAATGTTCATATATTGAAATGATCACCTTGTAAGCTAAATAATGTGATTGGATGTATTAAAAATGTAAATAAAAAAAATTTAAAAAAATTTAAAAAATATTTGGTGGCTTAAAATGACAAATTTATTATATTGCAGTTCTATGGATGATAAATCGTTAGATTAAGAAAGATATTAGCCTTTTTTTTTCAGAGAGAGAGAGAGATTTTTTGCTATTGGGAGCAGACATTCACCATGGAGACAGAGATAGAAAGTGAGAAATCACACCCTGGGGGGGTGGCCCTGTCACAATCCCTTCTCTCCCATTCTCCTCTTGGAATTTTGGGCATGTCCGTATATGTGCCTGGCATGAGTTTTAAGTTGCTGCATCTGGGACTTGAACCACAGTCAACTATGTGGGAGTCCAGCAACGTAAACATTATGCTATCCTAAGATATTAGCCTTTAAAAATATTTTTTTAAGCTTTAAAAAATTATTTATTGAGGTCAGCAGGTGGTGTGGTGGTTAAAGCACTGGACACCCACATGGCTGACTGCAGTTCAAATCCTGGATCTGGTGACTTGTTTTCTCACTTTCCCCCTCTCTATCTGGTCAAATTAAAAAAAAAATATGATGAATAAAATTAAATTAAAGTAATTATTTTAGACTTCACCCTCCTGTCCCCCAGATCCATCCAGGACAAGCCAATCACCAGCCATCTATATCTGAATTCTGAGCAGCCCCTTTCAGGGATTAAGATCACTGAAGACCTTCTGCCCAGACTTCATCCTCCTGCCCCCCAGATCCAGACAGGTTAGAGCACCCTATTTACTCAGTCTCTCTCCGTCTCTCTCTCCCTTTTTATTTTTATTTTTTTTTAAAAAAACTTAAACTTCTTAGCTCTCTGTTTTTTATCTTGCTAATTCTTACCTTTTCCTCTGCCCACACAGGACAAGCCAATCACCAGCCATCTATATTGAGTTCTGAGTGGCCCTTTTCATGTGGTGTGTGGTTTTCATTATTTTGTTTTTAAAAAAAGTTTTTCCTCTTTTTTTTTAAATTGTTTTTGTCTTTTTTTTTTTTTTTGGTCTTTTTTTTGGGGTGGGGTGGGGTGTTTGTTTCCTTTTTATTTTCCTTTTCTGTTTACCTTTCTCAATTTTCTACTTAGTCTCCAAACACCAAATTTCTAGACAGATCTAGGTGTATAGTAGCCAAATATTTTAATACTTTTAGGATTAGATTAATCCTCAATTTCCATTGAATCTGCTACACAGAGGGAGAAAAATGGTAGTGTTTAGCGATTGCCAGTCACCTCTTCCTGCATACCTCTGAATACTCATATTTAATTCTAAAGGCTAGAAAAAAACCATATAATCCATCAGATGACCAGAAACCAACACAGAGGCACAAGAAATATGGGAAACCAAGAAAATATCTCTCCCCTAAAGGAAAAGAATAACTCCTCATCCCCCACAAATATACAAGGGAACTCATGGAAATGTCAGATAAAGAATTTTAAATATTGATAGTGACAAAGCTAACAGAGATGCAAGAGAAGAGAGACAATGAACTCCAGAAGATGCAGGAGAAAAGAGACACTGAGTTCCAGGAGATGAGGAAGTTCTTGCATGATCTGAAGAGGAGATACACATCATAAAAAAGAATCAAGTGGAATTGTTAGAGATGAAGGCTGTAATACAGGAAATCAAAACTTCCCTTGTAAATATCAAAAGCAGATTAGGGGACCAACAGGTGGCGTGGTGGTTAAGGTGCTGGACACTCCCACATGGCCAACCACGGTTTGAGTCCTGGACCTGGTGGCTTGCTTTCTCACTTTCCCTCTTTCACACTTTCTGTGTCTCTCTTTGGCCAAATTAAAATAAATGAATGAATAAATAAAATTAAAATTAATAATTCTTAAAAAAAAAAAGCAGATTAGTTCATGCAGCAGATAAAATCTCAGATGTAGAAGACAGAACCTCTGGGAACCAGCAGTTGGCGTAATGGGTATGTCGCTGGACTCCCACGTAGTCGACTGTGGTTCGCGTCCTGGACCCGGTGGCTTAAAACTCACACCAGGCGCATGTGCGTACATGCCCAAGATCCTGAGAGGAGAATGGAGGAGAGGGGGGTGCGGCATGACCATCCCCCCTGGGGGGTGATTTCTCGCTTTTTGTCTCTATGTCTCTCTCTGTCTGGCAAGCGCACGTGCCCTATAGTGAAAAACCTCTCCAAAAAAAAAAAAAAAAAGATAGAACATCTGACCTAGAAAACTTCACCAAAAAGACTGAGAAAGTAACTCTCCCCAAATAAGAATAACATACAAGTAATATTAGCTACTATCCAGATCATTGGTATCCCAGAAGGTGAGGAAACTAATAAGGATATTGATGACAAATTCCATAAAATCCTGGAAGAAAACTTTCCAAACCTAGACAGGCATTCAAATATCCAGACCCAAGAAATACAAAGGATCCCATATAGAATCAACCCAAGAAGATCTTCTCTAAGAAACATCATAGCCAGATTGACCAAAAGCACAGACAGAGACAAAATATTAAAATTGGCAAGAGAGAAACGTCAAGTTACTTTCAAAGGATATTCGATCAGGGTAATATCAGACCTCTCATCAGGAACAATGTAAGCAAGGAAAGAATGGAAAAATATATTCAAAGTATTAAGTGAAAAACAATTTCAGCCAAGCAGATTATCCTTCATTTGGGAAAAAAAGACAAAAACATTTGCAGATAAATAAAACCTGAAAAAAATTTACCAACAACAGACTAGGTCTTCAAGAAATGCTGAAGGGAGTGCTATATCAGGAAAACTAAAGTTGAACACACAGAAATAAGAGTACAAAAAAACCAACAAGAAACTGGCCAGCCTAATGGTCAGGGCAAGTCTGGAGTTGAACGTTAACTTCCAGAGTTTCAATGGAAAGATCAGACCATAGTAATCCTGCAAATACAATAGAAGAGAGATTAATTGCATGAAACTGAATTGGTGAAATAGAACTTTATGACTTTTGACTAAGTAATTTGACTAATTTTCTAAATTTCTCTTAACATTTTTTGAGTTTGATCTTTTCACATTTTGGAGTTTGATCTATTAAAACTAATACTGTTTTTCTTGAAATTAAAACATGCATTAAAGATATCTATTTAATGATTGCAGTACAGTATATAGCCCCAACTAGGTGCTACTTTGTAGTATGTTTACTTTACTCACTGAGGCTTATGCCTAAAGTTAGACATGTGTTCATAGATATGCATATATCAGCTGTGCTTGCTATTCAAAGCATTTAGATTAATTAAGATCTTTAGTGAATCAATAAAATGTGAAAACAAAAAAGGGCATGG